AAGCACTAACCCCACGTGACATGTAGCATAGCGTAATGCTAAAGCACTATCCCCACGTGACATGTAGCATAGCGTAATGCTAAAGTGCTAACCCAATGGGACATGGAGCGTAGCATAATGCTAAAGTGCTATCCATATGTGACATGTAACATAGCGTAATGCTAAAGCACTATCCCCACGTGACATGTAGCGTAGCGTAATGCTAAAGCACTAACCCCACGTGACATGTAGCATAGCGTAATGCTAAAGCACTATCCCCACGTGACATGTAGCATAGCGTAATGCTAACGCGCTAACCCTATGTGACATGTAGCGTAGCATAATGCTGTAAGAAGCACCGATCTGCTTTTTCACTTCTGATACACCACATGACTCAGAGCATGAAGCATAGAGCTACACTGAATAGATCCGCCATATGGATCATTGTCTTTGTTACCTGATCTAGAAGTTTTTTCAACATCGGTACTGACACAGATATTGATATCCACTCTAGTTGATCCCCAGCTTGTCTCAATGAAGCTAAGAGCGCTGAATGTTTCAAAGTTAGAAAAACACCAAGCCTCCAAAGCGCTTTGCAGTTAGCGGCTTGGTGTGCGTGGGTCACCTCTGCAGGCAGAAGTGATGCGGTCTGAAGGCTCCAGCTTCCTGCTGCAGCAGCAGATGAATCTCTGGTTTCTCTCCTCCTCCAGCCTTCCTCCACTCCCCCCATCAGCCCGTCTACACGGCCACCAAACACGGAGTGATCGGCTTCACACGAGCGATGGCGGTGAGCGGAGCGCAGCGTGAGTCGGCCGTCCGCCAGCAGGTTTCAGGTCAGCAGCTGTGTGTCTGTCCCTCTGCAGGACGCCGCCGCCCAGGACGACTACGGCGTCCGCATCAACGTCCTGTGTCCCGCCTTCGTCGACACGCCGCTGCTGCACACCGTGGAGGACGAGGACAACATGGGGAAGTTCGTCAAGTTCAAGGATGACTTCAAGCAGAGCATGAACAAGTTTGGGGTTCTACAGTAAGTCCAGCAGAACCGGGTTCTGGGCTCAGAACACAACCCAGCATCAAATAAATGTCAATGAATCCAGATTTATATGACAGAGGTTTTGGAGCTCATCATCATTCACTATATATTGCCAAAGACTTGGTTCCAGAGGTGTCCCATCCTGACCCACCGGTCCCGTCCTGACCCACCGGTCCCTGACCCATCGATCCCGTCCTGACCCACCGGTCCCGTCCTGACCCACCGGTCCCATCCTGACCCATCGATCCCATCCTGACCCACCGGTCCCGTCCTGACCCACCGGTCCCGTCCTGACCCACCGGTCCCGTCCTGACCCACCGGGTCCAATGGGACGTTGGTCCCTCTGCAGCTGGAACAGCTTCAGCTCTTCAGGCTGCCCACCAGGTCTAGCAGAGAGTTTATGCGGATTTCTGACCATTCTTCCAGAAGCACATTTGTGAGGTCACACACTGATGTGGGACGAGAAGGCCTGGCTCTCAGTCTCTGCTCTGATTCATCCCGAGGTGTTCTGATCGGGTTGAGGTCAGGACTCCGAGCCAGGCTGTCCATCATGTCTTTATGGACCTTGCTTTGTGCTCTGGTCCACAAAGGGTCCAGATCCAAACTGTTCCCACTCAGATGGGATCCTGGACATGTCCAAGATGTCTTGGTCTGCTGAAGCAGTCAGAGTTCCTTTCACTGGAACCAAGGGTCCAAGCCCAGCTCCTGAAAAAAGGCCCACACCATGATCCCTCCTCCACCAAACTTTACACAATGCGGTGAGACGAGTGCTGTTGCCCTGGCAACCTGGCAGCATTCACTGATGTTTGTAAAAACAGCCTGAAGACCAGGGCTTCATTTACCTGGATGGGAGTTGTTCACCCATGATGCCCCTAAATAAAGTCCAGAGACGGTTCATGTCAGCCTGGAGATTCTGAGGGGTTCTGGTGACCCGCCTCGGTTCCCGGAGTGACCCCGGTTCCTGTTGGGTCTGCGCCGGAGCCTCTGTGTTTGTGTTGGCTGTGCAGCAGGAGGGAAGTGTGGAAGCCCAGAGGACGTTACAATGCTGACCAGAACTTCAGCTTTTAGATCCACATGCAGCTTCAGGTTCTGGGTCAGACCATCAGAACCATCAGAACCATCCTGTCCTGGCGTCTTCAACCCAAACCAGCTGCAGTCGGGCCTGCCGGTACCACCGGAGCAGAGCCAGCTCAGTGGCAGCTGGTCGGACTGAGGCTCTGGTTCTGATGAACCCAGAGAACCTCCCACCGCATGAAGCGTCTGGCTGGAGGCGCCGGACCTGTTTCAGACTGGATCCGGGCCCGGCGGTTCTGCTGACATTGTGTCTCTGTTTCCAGGCCGCCGCTCATCGCTGAAGGGATGATGAGGCTCATTTTGGACCCGAGCCTGAACGGCGCCGTGATGAAGATCACCTGCGCCAAGGGAATCCACTTCCACACGTACGAACCCATGTCGGCCTGACCTCCGACCCGTTCAGAGGTTCTGGAAGCTAAACTGGAACCGGTTCCTCATAGAACCTCAGCTCTTTGGTTTCAGATGACTGTTTTAGAGAAATGTTGAAGATGATTCTGTTTTGCTTCCTGTTTGGACTCAGCAAAGCAGAACCGCTTCCTGTGGGAACTAAAAGTCCTGAATCAGCTGATTTGACCAGAACCAGAACCGCCTGCTGATGACAAGGAAACGGTTCTGGTTCTGGTTCAGTCATGGACAACCAAACTTCTCCTGACTCCTTCATAAATGATCCGATTGGTACCAGGTTCTGTTGGTACCAGGTTCTAACCTCAGAACCGGGTTTCTCCCAGTTTGTGTTCACTGGTTGCGTTCTGGTCCAAATCTTTGCTTCGGTTCATTGCAGTTCTGCTCAGCTCTCTGAAGGTCCCACCACAAGGTTTTCATCAGGTGAAGGCCTGGACTTTGACTAGGCCACTGCAGCACTTTGATTCTCTTCTTCTTCGGATGTACATCTGCTGCTGTGTTTGGATCGCGGTTCTGTTCTGACCCAGTTTAGACCGAGATTCAGAATAGGTTTGGTTCTGTTGGACTTCATCCATTTCTGTCTCTGTGCTCCACCAGGTCCATTAGTTCCAGAACCCGACCAGAACCCCTCAGTGTAAATTACCTTGAGAAATAATGAGATTTGGTTAAATATAAAAATAGGCTTTAATGCTGAAAAATGATCAAATGTTAGAAACCAAACATGTCATAGAAATGGATCAGAACCAGAGTTACATTCACCGTCCAGCTCTGGTCCACTGAGCTCCTGATGGACGGAACCAGGAGAGAGAAGGACCGGAGAGTTCGGCTTTTATTCCCCTCTGCAGTCTGTTGGCTCCCTACAGGGTCAAATCAGGTTCAGTTAATCAGGTTCAGTCTGTTTACATGTGACTCGGCAGACACACATGAACATGGTTATGTGAGCTGCAGCAGCGTGTAAGTAGATTAAAAAAGAGATGGAGGAAAGACAGAACCTACAGCGGTTCATAAAGAACATCTCAACTGGCCTGAGAGGAGAAACAAAACCAAAAGTAACTGAAGGTCAACAGAAAACACAAAAATTCAAATTAAAAATACTTTAATGAGCCCAAAGGGAAATTAAATAAAAGCAAACGCCTCATTGACCTTCCCGCCTGCAGGGGGCGCAATGCGTCCACTGATGGAAAGGAGCAGCTGTGATAGTAGGCCAATAACTCCAGGATTATTCAGTGAAGGCTTGACCCACTTGGACCCACCTGGACTCACCAGTCAGGCTTCGTTCACACAGCAGCGCTCTGCTTACAGCAGTAAAGATGGCCGCCACTGTAGGAATGAAGCCAAAGAAAAACGTTTTTCCTTCTAGTTGTAGATTACAGTCAGGTGGGAAATAATCGTCTCTTATTTAAAAAATAATTGATTATTGCTTTTGCAGCCATTCAGCATTTAATGTTTATAAATATTTTTGCTTTAATTTATTTTATTTTTTGTCTTTTTGCTGCAGGAATCAGATTAAAATCTTCAGAAAGATGGAAACTCAAGTTACAGGTTGAAATCTAAAAGTTGATCAGCTGATTGATGAAGATCCATCGTTAATGTAAAAATCCATCGTTAACGTGAAAATCCATCGTTAACTTAAAGATCCTTCGTTAACGTAAAGATCCATCGTTAAGGTAAAAATCCAACGTTAATGTAAAGATCCATCATTAACGTAAAGATCCATCGTTAAGGTAAATATCCATCATTAACGTAAAAATCCATCGTTAACGTAAAAATCCATCGTTAAGGTAAAAATCCATCGTTAAGGTAAAAATCCAACGTTAACGTAAAAATCCATCGTTTACGTAAAGATCCATCATTAACGTAAAGATCCATCGTTAAGGTAAAAATCCATCGTTAAGGTAAAAATCCATCGTTAAGGTAAAAATCCATCGTTTACGTAAAGATCCATCGTTAACATAAAGATCCATCATTAACGTAAAGATCCATCGTTAAGGTAAAAATCCATCGTTAAGGTAAAAATCCATCGTTAAGGTAAAAATCCAAGGTTAACGCTAGAAGATGATAGAAGAACCTTCTGAGAGAGCAGAAGGTTCGTCCAGGTCAGAGTTTGAGTCTCTTTAACTGGGTCTATTCTGGTTCTGGTTCTGTTCTGGTTCTGGTTCTTTTCTGGTACTGGTTCTGGTCCTGTTCTGGTTCTGCTCCTGTTCTGGTTCTGCTCCTGTTCTGGTTCTGGTCCTGTTCTGGTTCTGGTTCTGGTCCTGTTCTGGTTCTGGTTCTGTTCTGGTTCTGGTTCTGTTCTGGTTCTGGTCCTGTTCTGGTTCTGGGTCAGACTGGCTGCTCTGAAACTTCACAAATCTTTAAATCAGTTTTTAAAAAGAGGAACCAAAGAATTTCTGCTGTTTGTATGAACTTGTTTTGAGTCGTTGGACGTGTAAAAATGGTTTTCTGTTGCTTTAAAGGCTCTGTGGCTCCAGGGCGCCTCCATGTGGCCAGTGATTATCAGGTTGATTTGTGTTTTCAGGTAAAATCATCTGATTTATGTTAGAAAAACGTTTTATGCAAGATTGTGTTCATAATGTTAAATTTCTGTAACTTGATTTTTAATTTAAATTTATCCTCCTGGTATCATCTGAGGACGGAGCCAGGAAAAAATATATTAATGTTAATATAAATAAATGCTGCTTTGCTTTTGCTTCATGTGTTAAATGATTCTGTGGTCCAGGCAGTGAAATGGTTCGGCAGACGGAGGCGTCGCCTGTTTGGCCTGTTTGGAGCTGCAGCACCAAACTGCTGCAGCTCCTGAGCCACATGTGGGATTTTTATTTTTATTCTGCAAGCTGAACCGAAGCAGAACGCCTCGGCTCTCCGCTGAGGCATGAAGAGCTTTTCCAGATAAATGAAGTTCTGCCGTTAAAATCAGCATGGAGGAATATTCCACTAGTAAGATGAACCTGCAAACGGTGTCAAAGGTCATATTCACTGTGAAATGACAGCGAAGCCAAAACCATGCTAACGTCAGCAACGCTTTGCCTCGGTTTCCACAGGCTGGATAATCCTCCAGCGACTGAAATCTGAACATGAATTTACCAACTTCCTGATAGAGAAGGTTTAAACACATCAGTCTGCACAGAACCACATCCAGAATCAAACACTAGTTCAGAGAAAATGACTAAAGTTCAACAACTCAGCCATAAAACCAAGAAACCAGTCGGTAATCCTGCAGGGTTCCTTCAGGAAGTTCAGCCTGATTGGCTCTGATATCAAACCTCTGATTTGTCAGGTTGCTGTGGCAGCGCAGAGGTTAAGGTCTGGAGGCCTCGGTGTGGCCGTCGCAGGTTCGATTCCCGGCCTGCTGACTTTTGCCTCATGTCTGCCCCTTCTCTCAATTCAGTGTCCAATCAAACAGCAAAAAGCCCAGTGTTAATTTAACTCTGAAGAGTGTGGACTACATAAACACTGAAAAAGTGTTAATATCAACTCTGTGGGAGTTAAATCAACACTGGGCTTTTTGCTGTGAACCTTTAGCAACAACCTGGGCTTTCAGATCGACCCACAGCCGATCTGAGACTCATCAGCAACATTATTTTAAAAAGTTTCAGCAGCTGAACGGCTCCAAATGAAAACTGAAAGCTGCTTCTTTAGTCTGGAACAAACTTAGAGAAAACTGCTGAACCTGATTCCTGGTGTGAGGACAGATGAGATTAGATTGTTCTCCATCTGAGCCGTGTTGCCTTCGTGGTCCTCTGGTTCGCTGCACTTTCACCCAGACGGAGGTTTTTAAACGCGACGCTGCTCTTCCTGTCTGCTCTGAAATGCCACACTGCCTGAAGTCGGGACAAATATTTCCCTTCCAGCATTTCCTCCTGGCTGAAGGTTGCAGGAGAACATCAGACCCAGTTCCTGCAGATAGAGCAAAGCAGCAGAAACTTCCAGTTCAACCAGTTCAGATGGTCCAGTGGAAACCAGGAGTCGGCTGGATCGATCCGACTGCCTCACTCAGGTAGACTCGGTTCTACTGGGACCAAAGCCGCAACATCTGCTGCAGTTCCAGCTGCAGCAGTTCGCTGCACCAAGCGCTGCTGTTCCCCTCCTGGCCTGTGGGGGCGCTGCACCAACAACCGCTGAAGGAAACGAGGGGAACTTGGTTGGCATGTATTAATATGATAGTAATATCCGATAGTAATACTGCTGTTATGCTGAATTTACCAATATTTCACTGTATCAGTTTTAATCGATGACTAAAATAATTGCTTACAACGGATGGACAGATCTAAAATCTGAATCTGACTTTGAAAAGCTCCTGTTTGATAAAACCTAGATTATCTCAGATTATACTAGTTTATCTTGGTTATCCTGGATTACCATGGATTATCTTAGGATGCTCTAGCTGCTGGTCTGTAATAATCCAGCATAATCCTGGCCCGTCGGGAACCTGGAGCTGTTAATCTCTGCTGAACCTCGTTTATCTCCGATGTTCCTCAATAATCTTGGCGACGTCCCTTTGCTGTTCCAACCCGATGGCCGTCTTCCAAACCTGTGAGGTCAGCCTGAGGTCACCGGCTCTCGCTCAGAGGAGGAAGAGGAGGAGAGAGAGGAAGAGGCTGCTTACATCTCCTCGGCTTTCAGACGGACTGCTGTTCCTTCCAGCTGACTGACGGCTCCGCCGCAGAACAATGAGCTCTAATGAAGTGTTTCCACCTCGTTTCACCCTCTGAGAGGATGTTTAACTTCACACCCTCAGCCGAAACTGGAATGTGTTGAAGTGCATGCTCAGGTCAAAGGTCATGCTGTTGGACTGGCTGACAGCGGCTCCAGGATGAACGGGTCAGGGTTTGTGTTTGGACGGCTGTTAATAATAAAACCAGAGAAGAGCTGCGTCGTTTGTCCTCCTGCCGAGTTTTAATGAGGCTTCAGGCTGCAGAGGTCAAAGGTCAGAAACTCAGAGGCTTCAGCTTCATCCTGATCATGATCGATCAGTTTCTGTTTTTGGTCCACATGGAGCTGAAACCAGAAAATATCCACAGCATTTCTTCCACATTTTACGTTTCAGTTCTTTCCTAAATTTGATTAAAAATCTTGGTTTTGAGCTTCAGTAAATAAAAAGCATGTTTGTTAAAATCCTCATGTCCTGACGTGTCAGTAATATCATCTCCACTTCCTGTGTTTCAGTCGCTCCTTCACTTTTCTTAATCTTGGTTCCTCTTTTTTATTGCTGATGTTTTTCAAAGCTGCCAAATGAAACTTTTTACCAAAGAACAGGAATTTGTTTTGCATTGGCTCGGGCTTTAAAAACGCCGTTTTTTCCCGGGTTAAACACTGACAGACTGAGAACATGGAGTTATTTCAGCGGTGGATCAGCTGGCGCCCCCTGCAGGAAGGAAGGTGCCACAACAAGAACAAATCTGATCCTGCTGAACTTCTTTGTTTTCCCTGAACTAAACTGGACTGGACCAACTTTGAATAAAACCAGAGCTGGAAAACTACGGAGCCCCTAAGGGGACATGGAGAAAAAAAAAAAAGGAAAGAAATCCCGACTTATTATCGCGAGATCCCGAGAAACTAAGTCGAGATCTCGAGATCCCGACTTATTATCGCGAGATCCCGACTTATTATCGCGAGATCCCGACTTATTATCGCGA